CCCCCCCCCCCCCCCCCCCCAACTACATCCCCCCAGCTCGGTGACTAGTGCCTCCTGGGTCTGGGAGGGCACCCGGGGTCCTCCCGTGGCTGACTGCCAACTCCCCAGTGGACTTGAAAGTGGACCAAAAGTACTTCCAATCCACTTCCGGGTTCACTGCCAAGCATGCGGGGCGGGCTCCCCCACACTCCTGTGGGATGCCCCATCCACCCCAGCATCGTAGCATTCACAAGCCGCGCCTGATACCTCAAGGTATGTAGAAAAAAAAATTTAAAGCTGAGTCCATGTCCAAATTGCTGATTCTCCGAACCAGCATCAAATCTTCAGATTCAGATTTGGTCAAATTGAATCGGGGACAGCGATACAAAACAACAAATCAGATCTGATTCAGGCCAAATCCAAATCCGAATCCAAATCAAATATGGCCCGTTTTGTATGCTCCTAATAGTAACTAGGGCTGTGCAAAGCTCTAGGTGCTGATTCGATTTGGAGAAGATTCGGCCGATTCAGCGGCTGAATCTCCAAATCCGAATCGAATCAGGGACCAATAAAAAGGTCTGAATTGATTCAAAGCTCTCCAAATTGATTTGGAAAATATTTGGAGAGCTTTGGAGATTTGGGCAGTCCCCACTCGCTGCCTCAGGGAGCTGGACCCGGCGGACTCCGTGCCAGTAAGTAGGCGGCCAGAGGGGGGGGGTGCATTGGAGGAGGGGGGAAGGGGACCATAGGAGGACCCCTGCCAGGCCCTATCTCCTGCCTGCTTCCCCAGCCCCCAAGTGGCCTCCAACCCCTGCCTGCTCTCCCAGCCACGTCAATGGCTGCCCTGCCTGGCCCTAGTGTCCTGGTGCTTAAAAAAAAGCCCTGCATTCACTGGCTTCTGCCGGGGGGGGGGGCCCCCCGCCACAGCACAGGGCAGTAGGGGGCAGCAGGGATCTTCCCCCCTGCCTGGCAAGAGCCAGTGAGTGCAGGGCTTTTCTTCTTTCTTTTTGTTTTTTTGTAAAGAGCCTGGACACTGGGGCCAGGCAGGGCAGCAATTGACAGGGCTGGGAGAGTGGGCAGAGGATGGTGCCTGTTTGATTCTGAGATTCGGAAGCAGCTGAACCTCCAAATCAGATTCGGCCAAATTGATTCCAGACAGTGATTCAAATCACCGAATCAAATCACTGTCCCTCAAAATCAGCCAAATCTGAATCTGCAGTGAAAACTAGCTGCTTCGCACAGGCCTAATATGAACTAGATTCAAATTCCAAATGTGATGACTACCATTCTTACATATACAAGGAATAATATGGCGAGGCATCTGGGACACTGATCTAGGAGATAAGATCAGATATCAATTCTAATTATAGCTAACTAAATTATTTATAGTGTTACACAGAACTAACCACAAACTATTTTTATAAACCCTCTTAATGAAGTGTAAATTTAAAACATCAGGTGGGTCATATTTGTTCTCCATCTTCATAATTTTTTCTTAAACAGACTTCATTCCTTTTTCCCCTGAACAGAACTAACTAGCGTCATTTTATTAATAGCTTACAGTTAGTCCTTGTAAAACGCTGTATTTTCATTATGAGGAGTTTAAAAACAAAATTTTAACTGATTATATTCCAGCAATTTCAGGTACTTTAAAGAGTATTTAATATATTAGCTTTACCTGGTTCTATGTTATCTGGATGCACTGATGACTGATCCATAGGTATTATAGGCTCCTGAAAATATTCAGAGTAATGGTTTATATAGTTTACCAATTACAGATTAATACAATGTAATCTGGCTTTGGGACTGAATTTATAGAAGGATCAACACAAGCAGTTACCCTTTTGAGTCTGAGAAACTTAAGCTCTTTGAAAAGGGGATTCCAGGTTACTGAGTCTCTTTCTAGTAAAAGAGAGTACCATGGATAATCTTTAAGGACCAAAACAGTTAAGTTTTTTACTAAATCAAGCAGCATCCATATGGCATTAAATTCAGTTAGTTACTAGAAATGCATGGAGAAACTAGCACTTTTCCAATTCTCCTTCTCCCACTCACCTGGGCAGAGAAAGTTACCGTGACTGGCTATGAAAGGGTAAGAGTTTTTTCTTTGTCCTCAAATAAATTTCTATCTATTGACTATTCCAGGGACACCCAAATTACAACAAATAGAATTCACAGCTATGAACTGAGGTTATACACATGCTCCAGACTTGGGGATGTGGGGAGCCACTTTAATTACAGAGGCCCTGAGAGATGCTCTAATTAAAGTGCTCACAGTTTCACATGTATTCAGCATCCCGCACTTCAAAATGGCAGCAGGGGTGCTTCAACTAAAGCTCATTTGACGAGCTTTAGTTAAAGTGCCCTACTGCCATTTTGAAACATAGGGACACTGAATACACGTGAAGCAGAGGCTGCTGGAGCATGCTAATTAGCAAACTCTAGCAGACTCGCAGCAGACTCGATTAACTGAGTTTGCTCCGATGCCTGCTAATTAGTATGTTAGAGCAGATGTCCATCTCAGGTACAGGTGTTCTATGTTGTGAGTGAGCTCTAGGGAATCTACTACATCAAAAGTAGGGGCAACCTTTTCTGGCTGTAGGTCAGAGTGACCCATGTGGGGTCAGAGATGGATGGGCAGGCACTAGTCCCACCGCAGCAGCAGAAGGCACCCCACAGAATACAGAACCTGAAGACCCATGTCTGCAGGCCAGATCCAAAGATTCTGTGGGCTGTAGGTTGCTGACCACTGTACTGGATCATGAGGCCTAGGAACTAAACACTGCTAACTTACTGGGTAGCTTTAGACAAATCAGTTTCTTTGCCCAAGTTTTCTTTTCTGAAACATGGAGATATTTCTTACCTAACATGTTTGCATATCATTAGAGGAGTATAACTAGCATCAGTGAAATTAATGGTGGAAGTGTATATTTTATTCCTGAGAAGCAAAGTGAAGTACAGCTATCAGCACCTGTCCAGCAGTCACAGAGGACCTCAACGTTGTAGTTACAGGCTCCATGCTCAAGTCACTATTCTGTAGTGTTTTGTTTCAGAGGAGTGATTAGATGAAGTTCACTTACTGGTGGAAGTGTATGGCGACCACATTCAATGTTGACAAGTTTGTGACACTTCTTGTGAACGAGGAGTTTGCAGTTGATGCACTTATAGCCCTGACGTCCCAGACCCCATATTCGGTCAGTACATATGGCACAATGAGCTCTCTAAAAGGACAAGTCAATAAAATTCAGACAAAGAACAATCAAACTAGCAGTACCTTTTCATTATTTGCATTATAGGAAAAATATACGAACTTGAATGAGGGGCCCTGCATTCTTGTTAATGGACATAAAAAGTTGGTCCCTACACCAAAGGGCCTGCAATTTAAGTGCAAGCAAAAGCAAATGGGTGGAGACAAGAGATAAGCAACACAAAGTAACAATAAAATTAGAGGTACACCAATAAAGATTTTCTTGGTCGATACTGATAGCCAATGATTAACCAACTGTTTTGGCCGATGCTGATCCAGTAACGGATATTTAGTAATAGCACAAAGCATTTTAAACTACTGACATAAATAAATCTTTTTATTTTTTGGTTGTTTTCCAATTATAAACACACATGCACATGCCTTCTGCCCGTTCTGGCCCTTGATGAGGAAGGCAGTGACCACCTTATTCCCAAGCACATCACCCCCTCGCCCACAGCTCTTACTGCAGCCCCACTCCCCACACAGCCAACGCTACCATCTCAGGTGGGCAGGGCAGACCCTCATGCAAACAGTGGCACTGGGCATGTTTTGAGCCCTAGGACATGCCATTGCCTCAGCACCGGTGGGCCCCACACAGCCGAGCTCCCGTGGCTGCTGGGGAGAAGCCACTTTTGCAAAGGTGCCCAGTGCCCATCAGAGCAGAACGCCCCTCACACAGAGTCCCTTTGTTGCTGAGCGTGGAGCCCTGTGACCACTCCCCGGTGCCCCCTCCTCCTGCTCGTTGGGACCTGTAGTCTGCTACAGGCTTGAGCCAGCAGCAGGGTGTTGGGAATGGACTACGCTTGCCAGGGTGCTCTGGACACGCGGTTGTAATTATTGGCTACAACGACCAAAGAAAGCCAATAGCTAATAACAGGTTGGGGTTTTGGGGGTTTGTTTGTTGTTGTTTTTTTTAAATAACGGTGCTGATCCAATAGCCAACCAATATATTGGTGCACCCCTAAAAAAAGTTAAATATAAGTACCAGTTACATTTAGATGGTCTGTACATAGTAGAGCAATAAGTGCAAAGAGCAAACATGCAGTACAGGCCAGGTAAAGGCAAATGAAGAGGACCACAAACCAAAAGAAAAAGCAACAACTGGAAAAAAAACTGTGAGATAAGGGTGCCTAAAAAGCCAAGGCAGGAAGTGGTTAATGATGACTTTCGGCAGCCTGAAGTGAAAGATGAGGACTGAGGAGGGATCCTGGGATCTGGCTAGGAAGAGTTCAAACAAGACCTGAAATAAAACATCCTCAGCGGAACAGAAACAGCAGATTTGGAAAGGAGGGTCAAAGAGGGAAAGAAGACATAATCCATGCAGTGGATGGCAGATAACCTGAAACACAAACCATCTGCTAAATAATTTAATTCTGTCTGAGAAAAGGACCTAAAAAACGGTATTAACCATAAAAGAAAAAGTGGGTTTTGTTGCTTGTGATTGCTCACATTCCCACATATGGAGGCTGGCTGGACAGACATCTCACAATTCTTACTTGCAAGGTATAGAGAGAACTCCATGTTCCACGAGCAAGACTCAAACATGTTTGTTCCCAGAGCTCAGGAAGTGCCAATGTCTATTGGGAGCTCCGTACCCTACCTGCTCTTTCAGTTCACAGCTACTTAATACCAGTGCTGGTGTCTGTCCTCTGGGAACAAATTAAAAGACTATGGCTGCATTTGTATTGCTGATACAGTAACTTGTGTGTGCAGTACTAATTCAAAATAAACATGCGAGTTACTCATATTTAAATAGCTTAAATGTTAAATTTCACTGAAAGTAGACGGTTATCAATGACCAACTGCTATAAATAACACACAAGCAAAGTAGTAATGCTCAAACTAGTACAATACACTTCAGTAACCTTCAGCATACTTTTTGTTTATCAGACAATATAAGCAGTTCCTTTTGTTTGATACCACACAGAGGGTAAGGCCAATTTTCTGTAGAATAAATTTACCTTTTAATCTTTTGAGGGTGTAACATTACACAGTTATAAGAAAAGCTGTGTGTCTGTTTTAGGGCTGGATTCAAAGTCTTACCCTATTAAACCGCTTTGCTTGAAAAGTATGACCATTTGCACAGTACAGCTTTCGCCACCGGCGGGCACCACGACGATAAATGGATTCTAAGAGGAAGAAAAGTATAAACAGATGAATGAAAGTGTAAATATGGCACTTGAAAGCATGTGGTACATTATACAAACTACTTTAAAAGATGAAGGCTTCAGGAAGATTTCACTAGGAATTTTCTGTTATTTCTGAAAATAACTACAAATGCACCTTTGCTCAGATCTGATACTTGTAAAGGATTCTATTTTTCTTAAAACAAAATGCAAGAACCTTCAGATATTTGGTATATGAACTTTAGTTTTCTATAATCTTGCTTTTAACTGTGTAGGAATGTGGTGTATGATAATCCCAACCAAGCATCCCTAGAAACTTCTGTAACTTCACAGAAGAGGTAGAAGTCAGAAATCAACAGCTTAAGATGCCCTACATTTCCTTAAGAGTGCTGACACAAGTGATATTTTTCATGCAATCGGGCCCCTGAAAGCACTCTACAGCTGTGACTTAACACATGCATGGCTGCAGAATGCTTTTAAAATGGCCAGTTGCACAAAAAGTTAACCCTGGTAAAATTAAGTATTAAATGAAGGTGCTCTAAAGGAGAGCACCTTGGGGAACTTGTGTTCCCTCCAGGGTAAATTTTTCATGCAGGGACAAGACTGGGCTGGTGCTCACGCCAGCAGGAGTAGCTCAGCCATGTCCTAGGGCTGTCAGTGCGGGAGGGAAGGGGAAGAGGAGGGAGCAGACAGCACAGAGCTGCCTGCTGCTTTTGAATGGCCAGGGGGAAGGGGTGGAACAAAGCACCCTCGCCTTGCAGGCCTGGCCTAGCTCTCCCCAGTACCCCAGCCAACAGCTCTGTGCTGGCTGCTTCCTCCCCTTCCCCATCCCTCCCATGTTGACAGCCCCGGAGCTGGGGGATAGGAGGGGCTGTGGACAGGGGCAGTTTGGTAGCCTCTTCAGGGACTGCTGAAGCACCCCTGCCTGCTGGCCACAGCTGGTGCAGACAAGCTCCAGCCCTCACCCCTGCCCCAACAGGCCAACATCTGTTGTGCTGGGGGGGGGGTGGCTCTAACTCATGGCGCTTTATGTCCAGCACCATGAGTCAGAGTGGGGGCCCTGAACATCCATAAACACCCTAAACAGACTGAATCAACCTAGTAGAACTTCCAAGGGTGAATGGGTAGGGATGCAATCTTAAAATTAAGAGCAGTACCGAATACAAGTCATCAAATCATTCTTACAATAAGGGGGCATGGAGAAGAACCCCAAGAACCATTATTTGGCAGAATATTTCTTCCAACAGCTATGAGTGCAAACCCAGTCTTTACAGAAAGAGTACCTCTCATTCATGCTAATTAGTATCCATAATTTAAAGAGGCAATAACTTCCTTTTCCATCTTTTCAGGGAATTTTAAAGCTGCAAGATGCTCAAGTCTATTTAGTTTTCATATTATAACAAATTTCTGCAACAAGACGGCAATGTTTGAAATGGTGAAAACACCCAAACTGTATACTACATTTCAGTTAAAAAGACTAGACAGTATTGTCAGTCATTCAGTCTACCCAGACATGGGAAGAGACAAAGCTAGATTAGAAGAGTTACTGCCATTCTAGCTAGGCTTAGACATCTCAGGAATCCCTTGAGATACTCAAAATCAGCAGATTTTTATCAGTTCAGATTCTATTATAAGATAAATGTGCTATGACCATTTTCAAGAAGGGATTTTTACAACAAAAATAAGCTTACTATCTTCTCCTGGACAGGGCATGCCGGGCCTTTCTGGTACACAAGGAAACACTGTAAAATAGACAGTGATTTCAGATTAAATCTCATTTCAGATATTAAAGAAAACATATTAAAAAGACAAATAGTTATAATGGACAGTTGTATTATCTGACAAGACAGAGTACAAAGACTTCACAATACAAGGTCTGTGAGTGGCTATACCAAGCCACTAAGAATCCTGAAAGAAGAAAACTAATACAGCAAACACATGCTTCTAAACCTCTATCTCCTTATTTTCTACTTTTGATTTTCTTCAATTCTTCCATATTCTTTATTCTAAAAAGTCATTTAAACAAATTATTATCTGAGTGGAGATGTGGTGTACCGAGTGATCACTGACTCCTTCACAAGGACGTGAAAAATTAATGTAAATTTGTTAATTTTATCTCTTCAATGACAAACTGACTTCCTTACTGAGGGCTTAAACAATCTCCACTTCTACCAGATGCATGCATACATCAGAGTCCCCAGACTGTTTCTATAGTGTGAATGACATTTTAACAGTCTTTGTGGCTATTTTTAATTTTATGTACAGTTGCCTAATGTCTTTATTAGAAATGTATTACCTACATGACAAAAATATTAGAAAATCGTTTACTAATTGATTACTGTGTGTCAGGCTTCTACCAGCCCAAGGGGATCGCCCTGCCTGACAAGACGCAGGATTACCAGGGTAAGGGCAAACATATGCCCATCACTGGCATAGATCTTGTGAAAGAACACCTTGCAAGGGAACACCTGGACATGCCCAAATCAGCTGGCCCGGATGGAATGCACCCAAGAGTGCTAAAGGAACTGGCTGACATCATAGCGTGGCCAATGGTGAGGATATTCGACAACTCTCAATTCAGGTATATAGGGAGCAAAAAGAAGGCTCAGGGTAGCATAGACAAGACAAACTAGGACAATTGGTGACAGATGGGGGGGACAAAGCTGAGCTCTTCAATGAGTTTTTTTGCCTCTGTATTCCTGAACTTGGATCAGGACAAATCCCCCAGCTGGATCATAGACAGGCATAAAGGGATAACCAGCCCACCAACTGTTAGCACCAACTTAGCGAAGAGACACTTGGAGGGACTGGATGTGTTTAAGTCAGCAGGCTTGGATGATCTTCATCCAAGGGTGCTGAAGGAATTGTCCAGTATCATAGCAGAGCCACTGACACAGCTGTTTGAGCACTCTTGGTGCCAAGATCAGGTCCCAGAGGACTGGAAAAGGGCCAATGTGATCCCTATTTTCAAGAAGGGAAGGAAGGAGGATCCAAGTCACTATAGACCAGTTGTCTCACCTCTATCCTCAGGAAAACTTTTGAAAAAATTATTAAGGATAGCTGTGGGTATCCAGCATGCTAAATGGCAACCAGCATGGATTTATAGGAGGTAGATCCTGCCTGACTCCCCCCAGAGGTGGTGCACTTTCAAGAAACACTTGGATACCTATCTTGCTGGGATCATTTGCCCCCTGCTGACTTGGGCAGGGGCTGGACCCAATGATCTTGCAAGATGCCTTGCAGCCCTAATGCCTATGTCTATGAAATCCATGATAATATTATTCTTGTATAGTAAAATAAGGTCATTAACAGGACAGAAGAGTGAGTGCCATTAGCTGCTCATAGATTAGTTTTCTGACAACCTCTATTATAAACATGTCTGTTTACATGCAATATTATGTATTTATGATCTTCTCCATGCTACTAATTTTTTATATAGCCCCAGAAAAATACTGCTAGCTGTAATAATAGCAGAAACAGTGTAGACCCCTGAGAAGTAAGACATGATACTAGCTTGATCACTTCAACATATCGTCAAATAAGCAATAGAAGTGGAGGCAGGAAATATGGAAATGCATATTTCAGGACAAAGCAAAGATATACTTGGGCTAAGCAGAATTTCTGGGCACTTCTACATTCACTCTATGGAATTTTCTCTTCCCTATGTCCTCAGTGAAAATTATTAGCATTTTAATTCCCTGCTCCAGAAAGTAGAAACATTCACCATTTTATAAGCCTTAAAAAAGCTCACTAGAAAAAGAGAAACAGTAGTTAGTCTCAGATATCCGTCTCTGCTCTAACTGAAATTACAAGTTTTGATTTGTGCCTACATGGATGAAATAGAATTCAATTCAATTTGGGCTTCTGAAGCCATTTTGCTTTCATTCCCCAAAACAGGGGTCATACTAAAACAACATCACGCTTGCACCTTTTTCTTGGGAGCCAGCTGCTTTCTTCTATTACTTTAAAATTTAGTTTCTGCGGGTTCTACGTCTCCACATACAAAGAAAAATATTCTAACATAAGCAAGGCAGTACTAATTTACTTAGCCCGGAGAAATAACCACAGTGGGCCAAACAATAGCTTGGACAGGTATGCATTGTTCACATACAGCACTGCCAGTTTTTTTACTGTTCAGCATTAACTTTAAAATATTTTGTTCCATCTTGAAGTCTGACCAAAGTACCTAACCTAGGCCTGTGAATGAAGATTATTAGTTTATTTTCTTTTATTTGACTCCTACTTTAAAAGCAGTGAGCAGGGAATAGGACCCAGCATGGTATGAACAACAGTCAGCTTCCTGCCAGCACAAACATGCCAAGTGCTACTGTACCAAATGCGAGGAGGCTTTCTTTCCACTTCTATTTCTACATGTTATTCACTACTAAGCAAATTTTCCATCAACGTTTTCACCAATCAAGGTATTGTTAGCAACACTATGGGATTTTGGTGCAGCAGTCTTCTTCTAAGGATATCAAATCATTTGGTGCAGTAGTCTTTGATGCATGGGTGGATGAGAAGGGGAGACAAGTACAAACTAGCAAATTTCAATATTCAGATGTGATAAGCAAGACCAAATCAATATCCAGAGGAACAGAAAGAAGGATGTACTGGCTTATTTGTATAAGGAGAAAGAAATTAAGCTCTACTCTACCATGAATTAGCAGCTCAGAATCTTTGTTTAATTCATATAACCGGAAAGCTTCTTCCAACTCCAGCTGAGAAGAAACTGTACACGGGTCTCCTAAAAAGAGAGAAAGAGAAAAAAAAAAAAAAAAAAAAATAAGTGTAATTTGAAGATATAGCATTGTGATGGAATTTTGCCACAACTGCTTTTAATTTGAGTCACACACACATTCATATCTATTAGTGTTTCTAAGTTATGCATTCTTAATGCTTCTAGTCAGTCAGAAAGGAGAATCCTGTTCCAGAGATTGTATCTAAACTCCCTCCAGATTTAATAAGAGATTTTGTGACTCGTTTATTTTGTACTATTTTGGCTCATCTCATACACATTTTGTACGACAGAAACAAACACAGTTACACACCACATAAGAAAAACCATGAGCCATATTTTAGATTTCTAAAATTAAATTGCTTTTATACGTGAAAAAGTGATGAGACTATGAAAAATTTTCTACAACATTCGTCCAACATAAAATAAAGAAATGGAACAAATTACTCCAAGAACAACTTTCCCAGCCTCAAATTAACCATCAGAGGAACAACACCAACACTGTACAACATTCCAACCTCAGACTTGATGAAACTGAAAGCAGCGACCAACCCTCAAATATCATCACTCTCTCCACACACATGCTTACCAAAACTGAAAAATCTGTCCTTTCTAAAGGCCTAAATTTCTGTCCAGAAAAATACACTAATAAAAATACTTCAATATGGAGAACTAGAATTCTTCCGACGCCTCCGCCTCCAGGAATATTTCCATGACCAACATGAATCCACTTCCAACAACAACTCATCCTCTGACAACATTGAGGAAAAGATCAACCCCAAAAAACCCCAAAGAACATCAGATTGGACACCTCACAGTGGACGAAACCCTAACCTTGACTACATTGACTGCTTCAGGGAAAGAATGAACAATGAAATAATCAGCAACACGCCACCATCACGACTTCTCTCTACCTGAGAGAAAGGCCATAGAATCTCTAAGATTGAACCACCAAATAGTAATAAAACCAGCAGATAAAGGAGAAGCCAAAGTCGTCATAAACTGTGAAGGCTACATAAAGGAAGCCAACGGACAACTCTCTGACACCATCAACTACAAAGAACTACAAGAAGACCCTACTCCCCTTTTCACCATGAAACTCAGTAATACCATCAAATCATTTCCATCAAAACTACAAGAAAAACTACAGACCTTGATCCCCCCCACTACCCAACCCAGGGACTTTTTACATGCTCCCTAAAATCCACAAAGAAGGGAACCCTGGCAGACCTATCATATCCAACCATGGGACCCTAACTGAGGAAATATCAGGTTTCATTGAATCAATCCTAAAACCACTTGGACAAAACTTGTTCTTTGAATGACAAGACACTACAGAAACTTAAAAACATAGACCACCTTCCCAGCACCCTCCTAGTTACCATGGACATTACCAGCCTATATACCAACATCCCACACCAAGATGGCATCCAAGTCTGCCTTACATATCTACAAGACCAAGATTACAACTCCGAGTACAGACCCAAAGATATTACTGACCTTATACACTTCATGCTCTCACACAACAATTTCACTTTTAATAACCAACACTTCCTCCAGACCATGGGCACCAAAATGTTCCCACAGTATGCCAACCTTTTTATGAGCCACCTAGAAGACTTCCTCAAGGACTGCACCATCAAACCCTTGCTATATTTAAGATATATCGATGAAATCTTCATCACTTGGACTGAAAACCTGCAATCTCTGATTGAGTTCCATCAGAAATTCAACAATCACCATCCCTCCATCCAACTATCTCTTGAATACTTCAGCACCAGTATCTCCTTTTTAGACACGATGAGCAGCATCCATAATGGGAAAATACAGACCTCGTTATACAAGAAACCCACAGACCAACATACATATCTGCACAGAACCAGCAGTCATGCTAAACACACCAAATAGCTGTGATATACAGCCAAGCCCTCAGATACCACTAAATTTGCATTGAGGAGAACACCTGGGATTGCCACCTCACCAACCTTAAAAAGGCGTTCACCCAACAAGGACACTCCTCCAGAGAGATAGATCGCACATTTGAAAGAGACACCTGGATACCATGTGAAAAATTGCTGCAGTACAGAAGAAAACCCCCATGAATCACACACCGCTGGTTATGACATATCACCCCTCCCTCATACCCATATGGGAGATCCTCAAACAATTGCAACCCACACTAGAAAGACACCCTATTCTTAAAGAGATCTTCCCAGAGCCACCCATCCTAGTCTTCAAACAAGCATTAACACCTCACTAACCTCATCACCAAAAGCAAACTTCCTCAGGCCCAGAACACACCGAATGGATCCAGACCATGTCATGACGAGAAATGCAAAACCTGCCACCACATCTCCACCACCCCCACAATTACTACACCCCACAACACAGCCATCAGCATTCCCAGATCTTACAGCTGCACCTCCAGAAATGTAATACTTCTCATCCAATGCACCAAATGCCCTGATGGAAAATACATAGGAGAGACCAAACAACAACTGCTCACCAGAATGAACGCACACTGGAAATCTCTCAAAGACAGGAATACCCAGTTACCTGCGGGGGCACAGTTCTCACAGGTACCTCTCCACTATTCATCTCCCTTCTCTCCCCGCCACCCAGCCTGTCTCTCACCCACTGTCTCCTCTTTTTACATCTT